ACTCGTAGTCAGCCTAGCGAGGGGCGGAGGCCTCCCGTCCCCCACTGTTCCTGCCCTTATTGTGCCCTATCCAGACCGTTTTCTGACCTCATTCCTGCACAAATGGTATCAGAGGGGACATCGAATTCAAACCATGTGCAGATCTCCGAAACCATTTTTTCGTAAACAGTGCTTTTAACTTAATTGATTGAGCAGGTGAAACTGGCAAGTTGAAGTGAAGGAGTCAAAGCGAAGGACAAACAAACTTTTTGTGGGAGTAGGTGCCATGAAATAAAACTTTGCAAGTGATTCACAATGTTCAGATCTGCTAGTCTAATAAGCTCGTGAACTTGGAGACGAAATTGTTACAAATAAATCAATGACTAAGATCCGAGCAACATTGGGAATGCTGGTGTTGTGGGGTGAGGGTAATGCACACAGGGAACAGGGCTATCCTTCATGACAATTCTTTTGCCAGCTTCAGTGCCAAAAAAGGCTTTCTTTACATGTGCCAGGTAAGCAAGTAGAGGCGAAGGGAGTGGAAAGAGGCTAGTGCAAAAGGGCCTTCTTCCCTACATCAATACTGTTTTGGGGATGAGTTATGGGTTGTGCCTTGAACTTCCATTCGGAATCGTTACGAGTTTTGATCGCTCATGTTTGTAGCGCCGTTGTGGTGGTCAGCCAAGGTACAAGTCAGTGCTTTTCTCCTTCCAAGCGTGTCCCGTACCAGGAAACCGTAGCAGTCCCGCGTGGGAGGATAAAAGAGAGTTGAGGGGTGGAGACTTGGTTGGTCTGGGCGAGTATCGACGGTACTCGATCCCCCGACTTTGTGTGTGAGCGCCAATACTCACTACACCTGAGACTTATTCACACTGTTGCTATGCTTCAGATCTTGCTGGAAGACAACTCCTTCAGAGGGTAGGACTTTCATGGTATCGACGGTTATTTTGTAGTTTTGTTTGTTCCTTTGACTACGTATACGTTTCAAACTAAAAAAACTGCAAGTTACAATATTTAAACTATACTTTTCCAATGACACCCATGAGCTTTTTCCTGTTCAGGTTTTTCCTTCCCGTTTTTCCACACATCCCTGTGCTCTTATCCTTAATCACAACCATTCAAAGCGAAATGTCACAGCAGTTCGCTCTAACCTCCTACATCACATACATAAATAGCTGTCTCTGAGATGCCGAATGATTAGCCATAGGCGTGACAGCAGGAAACGGCTGTGGCCCAGAAATTGCTGTTTTTAAGTAGGATTCGATGCTCTGAAGGGAACTCGTTCCTTCTAGTGGATGTCCGATCAACCAGAAGGAAATTTCTGTGAAAAAGAAGCAAGAGGAAAAGAAGAGGAGAGGGGTAGAACTAGATGCACGAAAATTCGGTTGGTTAGAGATCGATCACGCTGGAAAGTGATCTCGGTGGGGAGCGAACTCGGTCAAATTTCTTTTCAAAATGCTTGAATGGCTTCAATATTTGTACTATTTCAGGTGTACACTACATCCCGAAAAGGGCGTCGTCGGCAGATGCTGCTAAGCGACGTCAACCAGCGGCAAAGGTAATGCCAAAGATTCTAATGACCTTCCATTTCGTTGCTATGCTAGCAATAATGGTATAGGAATTCCATTTACTTTCCTAAACCAAGTAGAAAGGCTCCTGACTAGTTACCAAGAAAAATCAAAATGTGTGGATTCGTGGCAACAGATACTTCTGCTCGCTCGGAGCTGGGAAGTCGACACAGCGTATGTCACTGCAATGTTTTTTGGCGATTGTCTAAGTAGTTTCACATGGCGGTGGTTCAATGGTGAGATCCTGATGGATAGCGTTTTCGAGAGATGAGTGAGAAATGCCCTACGGGATTGCAGACTGTGTGCAGAACTTCGACCCGGGCGAGACTCGAACCCGCACTTGTGCATTTCGGACAGCATGTTTTCTTCCTTGCCCATTCCTGAAACCGTAACTGGGAGCAGAATCTGAGGACATGACAAGTCCTGCTATACTCGATTAGTAAAAGACATCACGATTTAATCGTAATTTTTGATGTTTTTGTTTTCCAATCAAATGATTGCTTTATTAGAAAGGCTAGCGAATGTTCAACAGTTCACTTCTTCTTATAGTAGAGACAGACGCCATTCAGGATCTGGTTCTTTGCCGTGGTTTTGAAGATGAGATTGCATCCGTACTTTGAACCCTCGGGAAGATTACGAACCTTAAATAGAAAAATTACTAGTTTTCGCCTTCAAACATGAGCTGCTCTAGTGACGGCGTGTAATGTGCTATTCGGTGTACCCAGCAATCACTCCTTTTCTATCTTGGTTTGGTACGTCTCTTTCGAAATACTCGCAGCTGCTTAAATTACATTCTTGAGCAGTTGCGGGTTAATGGAACAATGAAATGAAT